CTGGGGGGGTTCAGCCTGGAGCAGAGGGCTGTCAGGGGCTGGAAGGGGCTGCCCAGGGAAGGGGTCGAGTCCCCAGCCCTGGGGGGATTTAACAGCCGGGCAGAGGCGGTGCTGAGGGCTGTCTTGTTACATAACTAATTTGGCTGGTGTACTGCTTTCTATAGGTGAATTGGTAGTGGCGAGCTTTAAGGAGGGCTCTGAAGGAAGATAAGTTACATGATATTTGGGTCACGTCTCATACCAAAGTGGTGCTGCAAAAGGATGCAAAGAGTTTAAGGGGTAACTGGCACCTGGGTCTTGAAGGTCAAGGGTTAGTTCTGGAGTGGACAGGGATTTACACCCTTAAGTTGTTAGTTAGGACCCTGGTGACAGATCTGTGGAGCTTTAAAAATAGATGTGGAGTTGTGAAAGTGATTTAAGTCATTAGAAAGATGGCATTCCCCTGTAGTTGGGAGAGCAGGCAATACGAAAAGTAGGAGTTGGTTTGATGTAGTGTGATTTGGAAATGCCTGGCTTTGGGTGATTTGAGGAGGGGGATGCTTAGAAAGATGTTGTTTGTGCTGTGGGCATGACGTGTAGGTTCAGGATGGTGGCAGAGAGAACTATGGAGGCAGTTACTTGTGTTGGGAGAGGCAGCAATATCTCCTTTCCCAAGCTCTCGTAGCATTGTTAGCAGAGATGCCAAGAGGTTTTGCTAGTTGAACCGTGCTGTAAGTCAGTGGTATACTTAGGGGGTTGAAATGAGTGCTGAAGAGTTCATAGTTGTGACTATTGCTGCGCTGCTGCGCTTAGAAGAACAATCAGAAATGTATTTGGAGAGGGTGGTGGTGCAAGGCAAAGCTTGGAGGAACACAGGGAGGCTGCTGGTGTCAGAGGCTGCTGAGAATACCAGCAAGAGTTGTCCTCAGCTCTAAGCAGGTAAAGGTTGTGAAAAGATAACCCAGAATAGTCTCCTTGGGCCATTGGATACAGGTGCTAGTTTGGGGAAAATGAGGAAAGGAGGCCTAAATAGCACAACTTAGCATTGGGAGGAAAAGCTGAGCCAGGAGTGTTTGTGCCAGCCTTCATAAAAAAGGAATTTTATTTCCTTGCCTGTATTTGGTGGGTTTAGTATCATGTTAATCTTAGCTTTTGTGTATTTCTTCATGTCTTTCCTTATTTCCTGCAATGCAGAAGCAGCCAAATCTCCAAGCAGGCTGTTACGTATTTAGTCAAGCTGTGTTGGTTTTGTGTTTTAATAAAATAGAGATTGTTTGATCTGGCTGAGCAAGATGAGGTTGTGTAGGTGGCTTCCTAACTTTATTAATCTCTCCACTGATCCTTGCCTTAGTATTTGAGAGAGGAACAGACTTCTGCCAAGTTCTCCCTAGAGCTGTACTTACAGGAACGTTGCCTCTAGAACAGAGGAGGCTCAAGGAGACCCCAGTTGTCACAGACAAAACATTACAGCAGGAAGGAAGAGCATGAACTGTTCTTCACCAGCTCCAAAGAACTTTGAACAAGGGCCTGGATCAGAATTTATGAAGAGATTAGAAAACGCTTTCAGTAGTAAGCGTGGCTGAAGACTAACACGAATGAGCTTGCTGTTTCTCTGGTATGTGCTTTTTTGAGAACAGCTGTAGAAACCTCTGTCTGGAGCAGTTTTGGTTTGACAAATCCTTGAGGCCTTTGCTGGTTTTTGTCTTCCATGTCTTAAACCACATCTATTCACAAAATTCTGAAACTTGCAGTAGTTTTTGATTCATTTAATATCTTGGTATTTTTTAAATATAATTTTATGTATCGGCCTGGCCAAGAAATTCTCATCTTGGCATCAGATTTTTCTGCATAGAAGGGGTGATTGGCAATAATTGTCATTTTTGGTTTGTCTCTTTTCTGAGTCTTGGAGCACATATTCCAGTTTTGCTCAGGACAAAAATCAGATTTAAGCAGAAGCTTACCTTGCTTATTTCACTTCTTAAAATACTTGCCACATATTATAAGAATTACTAAAATCTGATGTACGTGTGCTTAACCCACTTTGGAATGTTCTACACTATTGATACGAGTTACTTGCAAAATTATTTATTGTCTCTTCCAGTTTTAAGTATATAGCATGAGTGTGCACTGAATGTTCTTGCATCACTGGCAATTTTATGATCTGTAGGTAGAAGTCAGTGTAAATTGCTGGTAAGGCTCCTTTTTTTTTTTCTTTGAATTTCTCCAACCGCTTGCTGAATCCAAGCATGCGAAGCTGCTGCCGGCCGCGTGATCCTCTGACAAGGGGCTCAGCAGGATGGGCTTTCTGTCTCCTTCAGTTTTGTGTTGCTTTTTTGAACCTGTTGTAGCCTAGTTTAATTTCATGCCTTCCAGCTCTTGCTCTGGGGGAGTCACTGTGTTGCCATCTTATGCCACTCATGATTTTGTGGTTATATTCCTTCTTCTCCCTCCAAATTCTGTGTATTATGGCTGAAGAACAATAAGGTATTTAGCTATTTTTATGTGGAAACACTTCTGTACCCTGTTCCTATGCATTACTTTGCTTCTTAAGGATGCTGAATCTTCTTAGTTGTCTTCAGCCTCGGTCTGTCTACAGCTTCCTAATCATTCCCTGTTGCCTCCAGATCCCTGGCGATGCTTAGCTCATCCCGAGGTTCACTCTGGCTGTTGATAAGGATGGTCTCCCTGTCTCCCCATCCCCATTTCCTAGTACTGTTCTGGTTATAGCTTTCAGCACTTGCCCTGCTGTGGTTTTTAGGGTCCTGTCTCCCCCCGCCCCAGTTCTTCAAAGGCTGTGTGAGTAATGGCAGGGTTGTCTCCATCAGTTGGAGGCTGCATAACGGCGGGGTTGTCTCCATCCGTACAGCAGTTGGGCTGGGTCTGGGTTCTGTTCAGCCCCACTGCAGCCATCTCTTCTGGACTGGTCTGGCTCTCCAGACCACTGGATGAGTGGGGAAGTCTTCCAGCTAGGAAGCCAAGCAAAGTTGGTTATGCTGCCGGTTCTCTTCTGATCACCCAGCTGAAAGCTTGCAGATTCTGATAACAACAGAGGTTTGAATGTTGAAACTGTTCTGCATGTCTCCTGAAAACTAGAAACCTGGCTGGATCAGCGAGACCCACATTCCCTCCCTTGCAGAGGGTGAGCTGCTGCTGTATTCATGGCCCGGCTCTGCTTGGTGCAGATGAACCACCTCTGGCCCCGCAGATGGCCGGGGAAGGTCTGGCAGGCTTGAAGAGGCATGGGGGAGAGGTTTGTGTTGTGAGGTACATGGGGAGGATTTGGGGTACAAAAAAAAAATCAGATCTTCAGTGCTGCTCCTTGCGTAACTGCAGTTGTGGTTAGTGTGATGCAGGTAACTCGTGACTTAATTCTTGCACTTTTTTTATGGCTGTCTCCCCTTGGAGGGGAAGAAAACGGTTTGAGTGATGTTTGGAAAGCTGTTAATTGTGAAAGTGAGGCTTAGTATAAAAAAGGGACTAGGAGTAATGGGTATGAAATGTCAAGTGGAGGACTGAGGTGTTTATCCCTTGTTTTTATTTACGAATAACACATGTATGTTGTAAGTGCTGTGGCCAGTTCCAGGTAGCCTTTTCATGCTGTTCTTCTGAGCCGAAGAGGTAAGAGTAGCAGAGTGCTAGGCTTGGTTTAACTTTTGGCAACAAACAAAATCTTTCTTTAACTCTTCTTTCTCATTCTGTGGGATTTTAAGTTCGTGTTTGGGGCTGTTAGTAACAGCTTCACATTCAAGCCAGATAATTTTGAAAATACAAAAATCCAGCACCTCCAGCTTTACCTGACATAGCGTTATCCCCATTAAATATATTTTTGACTTCGTTCAGCCTTAATGATAGTAATTTCTTGGAAGATTAAGACTTGAGTAACTTCACTGAACTGAACCCGCTGATAAAATTGCATGTATTGCTGTCTTCTAATGATTGCTGCTGTTTGAGCACAGGCCAAGTCATAGCTGAAGAACTCTGGGCCTTTATTTAAAAGCTGCTGTTTATTTCTGAGATTGCTGTTTACTCTGTTTTGCATGGGCCTGGGCAATGATGAGCATTTTCAGTCTCTCTTCATTCTACTGAATGCTTTCTGAGAGCAAGCTGAGGTTACGTGCTTCCTAGTGACACCTTCGCCTAACTGCTTCATTCTCCAGATCCTTCACCTAAGACACCAGGAGGCTTGGCCCACAGGTTGCAGCTGGGAGAATGTCCTTGGCCTGCATGTTATCCATGGACTAAATGTAGTCCTTTATCACAATACAGTTGTTCAGGCTCAAAGCCTGTAACTCTTTCATCCTTCAGATGTGTGCAGAATACGGTAACGCTTAATTTTTGTTCTGCAAGTGGGGACCTGAAGCATTAAATGATGTGAAGAAATGTAAAGAGTCTGTGGCAGAAGCTCAGCAAATATCAAATCCCGTTAGTGTGCACTAATTATCCTGTCAGTCCCCTCCTTGAAATAGATATGCAAACTTTTTAATTTACGAAAGAAAACATTGCTGTTGCTTCTCCAATAATTCACCATCAGATGAATATGAAAGGATTGTGTCTGTGTGAACGTTATAATAATGAATTTCTGTGGAGAATTTTATACCCCACCTCCCTCAGATGTGGTCTGAGGAAGCAGTTACTTACATAAAAATTAAACAGGCAATTACTGTCTGAATGGGGGGGTAAAAGCAATTAGCTGTCCTTTAGGCCGTGAGAGAAGGAGGAGTTAAAACCCCAACAACCCCATGGCTCTTTTGCTGGGGACACTGACAATTTTTAGTTAACTTTCAAAAAAGTGCTTTTGTTCCAACTGATGGTTTTTATGGGAGGGGAAGCCAATTCAGTCAGCAGGTTCTGTGACCTGGTTTATGCGTGTTCTAACTGGTGTCTCCGCAGCAAGCAATTCCTTCTGCCATGCTGTGAAGGCAGTGGAATTTAAAAAGGGATTAGCAGATCCTCTCGCTAGGGCGACTGCTCTCTCATGTTGCAGCCTTGCATTGAAGGGACGTTGTCTTTTTTGCTCCCAGTCCCCTGCAGAGCAAAAAGGTTTGTCGGATTCAGGCGAGGACCCCCAGGGAGAGGTTGAGCCCCCCCGCCATGGTCTGGGTGGCAAAGAACCAGCTGGTGAGCGCGACTCTGAGCACCCTGCTCCCGCTGTTGCCTCAGTCAGTGCTACCCTGAGTCCCGCTTCTGAAGCCCAGCTTGCTCCTATTCAACAAGAACTGGCAGGGGTAAGTGTGAACCTACCAAGTACTTCTGCTGCTGAGGGGATGAAAGGGAAAAGTCCCTTCGAGGAGGACTCTGTTACTGTTAACATGAGGTAGTGCAGCTACCTGTCTGGTTCTTTGATCGCAAGTGTTGGTCCCCTCTAAGCTCCTGTTTCAATTAGTAGAAATGAAACTTGTTTGGGACAACCTAGTGGGTGCAATTATAAAAGACATCAAGTATTAACTTCTAAATTGAGGGTGTAAACTGCGTTTGCTAAGGGTAAGAGCTCTTCTAAATGAGTGAGAAAGTGGGTATATATGAGGGATTTGCTGCAAGCAGGGAGAGGAGGATTGGTTATTCC